ATTGTTAAAATCATGACCCCCAGGGATAGGTTGGGGCCTCAATGGGGGTTTGAAATTTTATATAGTAATATATAGGGAAAATCTTTAAAAATCTTCTTCTCAAGAACCTTTTGGCCAGGAATGTTGAAACTTATGTGGAAGCATTCTCAATTTCGTTTAAATCTTATCATGACCTTTCATGATCCCTGGGAGTACGGTGGGGCCACAATGGGGGAGGGGTATCCATGGGAGTATTTATAGGAAATTTTTTTATGAATTTTCTTTTCCAAAACTACTTGACCAGAGAGGTTTTCTGAAATGTAAATTCATATAATGTACATTCAAATTTGATGATGACGATCACAACGGGTCATGATAGGTTCAACCACAATGGAAGAGGGGGGAACAGAATATTTACTGTAAATTTTACATATGAAAATCTTTGGAGAAAAATCTCAAAGTTAGAATATGTATCAAAAACTTAATATAAAAAACTAAATTTGTTCAGATATTTCTGATTTGTTTAAGCTGTTTGGGTTAGAGTAAATCACCATAGTTGCTCAGGTGAGCGGTGTGGCCCATGGGCCTCTTGTTTATACTAAGTATAAAATATATGGGAAACATAAATTATCATTATCTTAGGTAAGGCAAGCAAGGGTATCCTAAGTAGGAAAGTAGGAATTTGAAGGTACTTCTTGCTGCAATAATGATGGGGGTGGGGTACAACTCTTTTTGGATCATACAATATCATTTCCATTTTTTTTAAATTAAAATCATACAATGTAATCAGGAACATTTTAAAATAAATGTTTCTAATGTTATTATTCAGAGCATAATTTTTTCCAAAATATTTAGTAAAGTTTGAGTTTACCGCAAACTTTGAAGTTTACTGACCTTTACCGATTTTATTTTGGGACAGCCAATGAGAATTTGGGAGCGGATCTTGAACTGAATATGGGAATTTTCCTTACTTCATACGTAAATAATGCAGCAAAAATAAAATACATACCTCATAAACATTTATATATCTGTTTAGTGATTACATCACATGAGAACTGTCATGGCTTCTGAAGAAGACAACTTGTTTTCACGCTGGTGTATTTTTTCTTGTGGCGATTTAATAAAACATAAGTTTGTTTGCTACGATTAAATATAATTCATTTCATCATTGAATAAATATTTTTACGATCTTAATTTTGTCCCACCTCATAGTTTTGAGATTTACTATGCATGGATTAAATTTTACAAACAATCGATATTTTAGCAGCATTGATAGAATGAAGTGTACGGGCCGCAAGGGCTGACTTCAGACTACCTATCAAGCGTAGTTACCACAACAACCTTTACATATTTAGAAGAACAGGCTGTCCCTTCTATATAACGTACCGAAGATCAATAACAATAATTTACATATTTCACCCACTTTTTTTTTAAAGTTAAAGAAATTTTTGGAGGTGAAGTTATAAATCTCTGCAGTGAAGGCAATAGTAAACATGGCGAACAAACTCAAGTTGCAATCATTTAGACACATTTCAAATTGAAAATATTGGTTATATTGACGTTATTTAATTATTTCGATTTATTTCAAAGTTAAGAAATGAAAATAATGTTATTGTAATTTTTGGCGGAAAAAGAATGCCTTCTTCACTAAGATGTGATTCTAGCTGGAGTTGTACCCCCCCCCTTTCCTCTCAAAAAAGCATAAAAGAACGGAAGGATAAAATAAAATCGGGTAGCTACATTAATACTGCTCCTACGATCATGAGCTTTTTGCCTCCGTTGAGATGACCAGAGACATTAAATAACATATAATAGATGTGTCTCCGAGATGGCGAAGGATTACCCACGTGGCCACAATATCACACTTGCATGGATAAACTCAGAAACATTAATACAAATACGTGTAAAATTTCATTGGAAGTTTGCTTTATATTTTGTTTATATATATTTATGATTTCTTATTAGAGAAAATTATAAAATATCAAAGATATGTCTACTTAGTACAAATTACTTAATTTTGTCTTCTCTGATTTGAACACCGTGATTTAGCGTGCATGTAATACGCACGCGCAAGATTGTAAAATCCAAAAAATCCAGATGATTTCCGGAATTTTTTGAGGAATTATCGTTGATTATTAATTAGTGAAGCTTAATTGAGAAAAAATAAAAACAAATTGGTAATCTTCAAGTACCAATGATGTTTAAAATATATAAAACAAACAACAGTACTCTTCCGATTTATCGGTATTAAAGGCCAAAAATTTGAGTCTATTGTTTTAACAAAGTAGTGTATATATATATATATATATATATATATATATATATATATATGTTAATACATTTTATAGAAATTGAATGTGTACTTATCTTTTGATTGAGTATTTCTGTTTTTCATCATTTTATCCAAAGGCATTACATTCAGTGATAAGAATTAGAATAATTATAAATCAACAAAAAAGTTACTAATATTTGGAATATGATACCAAATATCCAAAATTGCAATTTGAATAAATTTGATTTAAAAAAGGAAAAGATCTGAGGTATTCCATGATAAGTACAAAGGTGTTCTGGAAAGGTGTGATAAAGGGTGAAATAAAGGGTATTGATACAGGATACAGGGCATATGACTGTGTTCATATCAGTCGATCATGCCAAAATACTGCATTATATAACAAATATATAATAAGAAGTTTTATTGCTAATATTAAAAGCTGTAATAAAAATTTATAGCTTGCCTTAATTATCAAATGTTGATCTAATATCTGTTATTGTATTGTAGCAGTTGACCATTAACCTCAGAATAAAAAGATGGTTTCATTTATCATAATTAATGCATGTAGATGTTTTAAACTTTATTGATCAAAAAGAATCAGGACAACTCCCCCCCCCCCCCCCCCCCCCTTGCAAATATTAACAGATTAACATTGTAATTAGCAAGCAGGTATAAAAAGCAAATATCTCTACTAAGGTTTAATTATTTGATAGTAACTATTTTATTTAATTTATGATTTCAGATTGATATATTTTTTGAAGCAATTGCTATATATATTATAAAAGAAGTGTTTTTAATTAAGGAAAGAGAGAAGACATAAGTAACCAGTATGGACAAAGAAGGTACATCTCAGGGAATGAATTCGAAGAAATGATTGGTAAGAAAGTCATATGCATATTTAGTTTACCTGAGCTGAAAGCTCAAGTGAACTTTCCTGATCACATTTTGTCCAGTTACCATCTGTTAATTTTTAACATTTTCAATTGCTTCTCAAGAACCACTGGGCCAATATCAATAAAACTCCTTGGGTGAAGGGAATTACAAGCTTGTTCAAATGAAGAGCTAAATGCTCTTTTAGAGGGAGATAATGAAAAAAAATTGTATTATCTTTTAAAAATCTTCTTTTCAAGAAACACTGGGCCTTTAAAGATGAAATGCATGAAAACTTCCTAATATGTAGATTAATTTTTTTTTCAAATCATGACCCCTAAGGTAGGGTGGGACCACAATGGGAGATCAAAATTTTATACCGGAAAATAAAAGAAAAAAAAACTTTAAAATTTTCTTCTCAAGAATAGCAGAATCATTATTATTCATATAATATGGAAGCGTCCTCAGATAGTTAGATTCAATTTTGTTCAAATCAGGAGACCTAGGGGTAGGGAGAAGCCACAAAAGGAGATGAAAATTTTACATGTAGGAAAAAAAAACTAAATATCTTTTTATCCAGAACAAAAAGGCTATCATTAGTCATATTAATATGGAGGCATCCTTAAGAAATGCAGATTCAGGCTAGGTTGATTTTTTTTTTTTTAAATCATGGTCCCTGAGGGTAGGTGGAGGCACAATAGAAGATTAAAGTTTTACATGGGAATGTACATAGAAAAAAATCAAATCAACTGGGCAATGATTATTAGTCAATACGAGTATGTAAGCATATATGATCAGGTTTTAATTTTTTAATTTATAATCAGATTTTAATTTTTTTCAAGTCATTGATCTTTATCTTCCATTGTGGCCCTACCATACCCCTTAAGAGTCATGACTAGGGGGTATGGTGGAGCCACAATGGGAGATCAAATTTTTAGATGGGAATATATAGGAAAAAACCTGATGAAAATTGCAGGGCCATGATAAGATATACATTGTATGTATAGAATATGCAAACATCCTTAGTGTATATTCAATTTAAGCAAATCATTAGTGTTGTCAACAAGTACCCGGTTAACCGCCTAACGATGCAAATATCGGTTAGTAAAAGTGCTACTCAGTTACTCTGATATTTAGATATAAGTAGAAAATAAATGATTTTTTGTGTAATGAATCTTTAAACATGTCACAATTTTTTTTACCGTTAGTCTTGATCCAACTTTTTACTAATACGTTTGTTTTGATTAGTTTTTGCTGTTTATCTAATTAATAGCTTTGATTGCCAAGGGGTGTGCTTGTTTTGAAAACATGAGTTCATAATTACCTTATTAATTACCTGATTAAGATGCCACCCCCAGAAATCATAGAAATAATAGAAAATAAAGCCTAAAAAAATGCGCTTAATCAAGTCGTTCAAGAAAAAATATTTAGATGTGTGTTTATTACTGAAAATAAAATTCATATGTGGTGCATTTGGTTTTTTTCTTTTAAATATATACCAGTACAATGTATATAAAGATAAGATAAATATATAAATTATACAAACATTAAATCATTGCAGTTACTGTTAAATATTTATCACTTACAAGGATGCTAAGAGGCTAATAAAAAAATCATCCGAGTAACCGGGTACACTATCAGAAAAGTAAGCGAGTAACCGGTTACAAAAAATCGTCCGATTTGACAACACTACAAATCATGCTTCAAATTTTCAACATTAATGTTCAAGCATTCTCAGGTAGTGTCAGTTTAAGTTTGATCAAATCATGCTTCCAGGTGTAGGGTGAGGCTGCAAATAAGGTATCAGAGTCTTTTTTCAAGAGTAGCAGGGTCATTCTTACCAGTAATTAAATTGATGTGCAAGGTTACACTCCTTTGTTGTGTGGACCTGAAAAAGGGGGAGATTCAGACCTCAAAAGAGGTACGTGTAGCTTTGCACACAGTGTTTTACGCTTCAGTTTTGAAACAATATATAGATAGGTAAATATGGCCTTAGATGACCACTGCAATAATTAAAATTGTTTAAATTGTTAAAATGAAGGGCCAAGTCCCCTTCAAAGGGGAGATAATCAAGAAAAGACAAAAATTAGGTGGGGTCATTAAAAAATCTTCTTCTCAAGAACCACTGGGCCAGAAAAGCTGAAACTTATGTGGAAGCATCCTGGGGTAGTGTAGATTCTAAATTATTCAACGCAGGACCCCCGGGGTTAGGGCGGGGCCAAAATAGGGAATCCAATTTTTACATTGAAATATGCAGAAAAAAGTCTTGAAAAATCTTCTTTCCAAGAACCACTGGGCCAGAAAGGCTGAAACTTATATGGAAGCATCCTGGGGTAGTGAAAATTCTAAATTGTTCAAATCAGGACCCCCGGGGGTAGGGCAGGGCCACAATATGGAATCCAAGTTTTACAATGAAATATGTAGTAAAAATCTTGAAAAATCTTCTTCTCAAGAACCACTGGGCCAGAAAAGCTGAAACTTATGTGGAAGCATCCTGGGGTAGTGTATAGATTCTAAATTGTTCAACTCAGGACCCCCGGGGTTAGGGCGGGGCCAAAATAGGGAATCCAATTTTTACATTGAAATATGCAGAAAAAAATCTTCTTCCCAAGAACCACTGGGTCAGAAAGGCTGAAACTTATATGGAAGCATCCTGGGGTAGTGTAGATTCTAAATTGTTCAAATCAGGACCCCTGGGGGTAGGGCGGGGCCACAATAGGGGATCCAAGTTTTACATTGAAATATGCAGAAAAAAATCTTGAAAAATCTTCTTCTCAAGAACCACTGGGCCAGAAAAGCTGAAACTTATGTGGAAGCATCCTGGGGTAGTGTAGATTCTAAGTGTATCAAATCATGACCCCTGGGGTTAGGGATGGGCCACAATAAGTACTACAAGGGGGGGGGGGATCAGCAAGAAAAACAGAAAGGCCAAAGTTACTCAGGTGAGCCTTGTGGCCCATGTGCCTCTTGTTCTTGGTGGGAATGTTGACAAAATTTATTGTAACCGATTTAATCATGGAGTATGAGCACCTGTCATTGTCAAACACGCTTGAAATTCAGATAAACATTGGTAACAAAAAAGCGTTTGTGTGCTCCCATTTCAGATTACATGATATCTTTAAAACCATCAAGATTTTATGATTGAGTGGTTTTAAAAATGGCAACCAAAGTGAACCAAAAATGGATTTTGTAGAAAAACAATAGATTTTTATGCCCCGCCATGAATATGGCTGGAGCATATAGTGTTTGTCATGTCTGTCTTCCGTCCTTCCGTCTGTCCTTCTGTCACGCTTTGCGTTTAGCTCTGTTCAAAGCTCAGTTTCAAAGAAACTACCCAAACTTCATATGCTGATAGATATTGATGTGAGCTATGCAACTGCATCAACATTTTTTGACCTTGACCTTTCCTTTGACCTTGACCTCACTTTTCTTTTCTTAAATAAGTGTTTAGCCCAGTTTTAATGAAACCATTCAAGATATTTTTAACAAACTTCATATGCTGATACATTTGTACATACTGATGAGAGCTATTCAACTGCGTCATATTTTTTTCCTTGACCTTTCCTTTGACCTAGACCTCACTTTTCTTAAATAAGTGTTTAGCTCAGTTTTTAAAGATACCATTCAAGACAGTGTTATCTAAGGGTGCAACGATAAACCGTTTGACGGTATATCGCGGTATATTTTTCCACAGTTCAATTCACGATATGCTAAACTGGTATTGCGGTTCGGTTCGATCGGTCCAGAATTATCCAAATCGTCCGTTTTGTTTCCTTTTTTACAATTTCAAAATGGCTTCCGCACAAAACGTGAGGTCGCCAATAACGCATTTACAGAAGTTAAACTCATCTCAAGCATCTTACAGACCTCAGATTTCACACGGAGAAGGACTTAATGTGATTATAAGTTATAGATGTTAAGACAAATGATAAACCCTTTAGATCTAAACGTATTCTTTGGTAATACACGATATTTCATCACGTGTGTATTTCGATGAAAATTCACTGTCTTGTTGACTAAAACGTATTAACATGAGAAATATGACAACTGGTTTTCTACGTAAATAAAAGGAATAAAAGAATGAATGTCTTCCTTTTTCATTCCAATTTAAAAGGAAGATTATTAGGAAAGGCCCCCGTAGTTCCCTGTAAATGTTCATCATTGGTTTAGAATATTGTCAAACTCAAAGATCTACCCAACAATCAAATTCAAGTTAACAAAATTTTATTCTAATTATTATTAAAAAAAAAATATGAACATTTTATATAACCCTGTCAAGATTAAAAAAAGATATGATGACAAACTTGAAAGACTTTTTAACCTTGTATCGTGATACGTATCGTATCGTGAACTGAATACCATGATACGTATCGTACCGTGAGGTTTTTGTATCGTTGCACCCCTAGTGTTATCAAACTTAATATGCTGATACATACTGATGAGAGCTATTCAACTGCATCAATATTTTTTTACCTTGACCTTTCCTTTCACCTTGACCTCACTTTTCTTAAATTAGTGTTTAGCTAATTAGAGTTTTAAAGAAACCATTCATAATATTTTTATCAAACTTCATATGATAATACATACTGATGTAATCTTCAACTGCATCAACAATTTTTGACCTTGACCTTTCCTTTGATCTTTGACCTTACTTTTCTTAAAGTAGTGTCAAACTTCATATGCTGATACATACTGATGTAAGCTATTCAACTGCATCAATGTTTTTTCACCTTGACCTTTCCTTTGACCTTGACCTCACTTTTCTCAATTTGTGTTTAACTCAGTTTTAAAGAAACCATTCATAATATTTTTATCAAACTTCATATGCTAATACATACTGATGTAAACTTTTCAACTGCATCAACATTTTTTGACCTTGACCTTTCCTTTGACCTTAACTTCATTTATTTTAAATTAGTGTTTAGCTCAGATTTAAATAAACCATTCAAAATATTTTTATCAAACTTATTATGCTGATACGTATTTATGAGAAGTATTCAACTGCATCAAAAACGTTTGACCTTGAAATTTTCTGGGACCTTGACCTCACTTTTCTTAAATTTGCATTTTGCTTAATTTTAAAGAAACCATTTAAGATATATTTATGTAAGCTTATGCACTTATACATAATTTGGTGAGAATTTATCATCTATATCCAACTTTTTAGAATTCAATTTCAATTTTAAAGAAACTATTCAAGATGCTCTCATCAAATTTCATACACTAATACAAATTTTCATGTTGCATTACTAATATACCCTCGGCGGGGCATTCATGTCCTATGGACATATTTCTAGTTAATAAAAGTGGTAAAAGGGAGATTGGGTAAAAAAATGGTAGACTTCCCATAGAGTGGTAGAGTTAACATGTATGGGGATAAAGAGGGGAAAAAATCTTACAAAAATCTTTTGAAGGTCTTTGGAAGGCCAAAGTGAATCAGGTAAGTTTTGGGCCCATGGGCCTATTGTAGTAAATATTGTTACACTTAGAAGGCTGTAAAGAAGGATCTCTGAAAAATCAATATAGAGAATCAAAGGAGATAGTATAATTTTCATTTTTAGCTCACCTGAGCTGAAGATTCAAGTGAACTTTTCTGATCATGAAGTGTCTGGCATCCTTTCTGTTGTCTGTCATGTGTCATTTGTCGTCTGTCTTTTCACATTTTTCACTTCTCAAGAACCACTAGACCAAATTTAACCAAACTTGCTAAAAAGCATCCTTGTTTGAAGCAGATACAAGTTTGATCAACTGATGGCCAAACCCATTTTGAAGTGGATATAATGAAGAAATAGTGAAATTTTAATAGCATCTTCTAGAAATTTCCTTCTCAATTACCACTGAGCCAGAAAAGATGAACTTACAAGTATGTGAAAGCTTCATTACATAGTGTAGATTCAAATTTGCTAAAATCATAATCCACGGGGTTAGAGTGGGGCCACATTAGGCAATTAAAGTTTTTATGTAGGAAAATATCAGAAAAAATCTTCAAAAATCTTCTCAAGAAACAGCAAAGCTTGAATGGAAGCATCCTCAGGTATGTAGATTCAAGTTTGTTTATCAATATAATAATGACCCCAGGGATAGTATGGGGCCACAATACAAGATCAAAGATTTATACAGGAATATATAGGATAATATCTGTAAAAATCTTGTGTAGCCATAATTAGTCATATAAAAAAGGAAGCATCATCAGGCAGTGTAGATTCAAGATTGTTTAAATCATGACCCCCCTCCCTGCCCATTCCGGGCTAGGATGGGACCACAAATATTTAAACTTTTCAATACTGAACTGATTTCTGCTTTTCTTTAACCAAAGTACTCAAGTGAGCAATGTGGCCCACTGGCCTCTTGTTTTATCATTTGTAATAGCCAGGTAGTCTTGTTATTTCATAGTATGGATGAAATAATCCTGCACATATTTTTAAATTGTAGATTACTTTTTCACTGTGCATTAGAAATATTTTTTCAATACTGAACTGATTTCTGCTTTTCTTTAACCAAAGTACTCAAGTGAGCAATGTGGCCCATGGCCTCTTGTTTTATCATTTGTAATAGCCAGGAAGTCTTGTTATTTCATAGTATGGATGAAATAATCCTGCACATATTTTAAATTGTAGATTCACTTTTTCACTGTGCATTAGAAATAATTAATGATTCATAATTCATTTTTCTATCTTTTTTCATAAAAATTGGTTTTAAATAATTACTGTGTTTTTAAAAATCTATATTACTAGTATATAAATATATAATGTGAACAGATTCCATGATGTCTGCAGAAGACAAGTGTAGGAACACCGATTTATATGAGTCGATTTCACTGCAGTGGATTGTTATCCAAGATGAGATCATAGAAATCCTCAACTCAGGACTTGTTCCTCCATGTGACTTTCTCAGTGGAGGTAAGTTAATCCTTGGGAAAAACACTAGTCATGTTTATATGACTTTAATAATCAACAGAGTACTGATGTTGTTGATTTCATGGGCACTAGTTGTAGTAAATGTCAGGTAAGCACACAAGCACATAGTCAAAGTTCCATAGGCAAGTGTGTATCACATACATGCTCTAACATACGAACAATTTCTAAAACTAGGTCAGTCATTGACAAACAAGTTGATGAAAAAAGAATATCAGTTCTCTCGTTTAAAATCATCATTTCGTAAGTTCTATGGTCAATTTAATGACCTTGTCAGTAAATATTATATATCATTAATTACATACTAGTTCTTACCCCATTATTTACACCTGAATTGTTGACGGATTTTTCCAATATTTTCCAATCATGATAAGGAGCACACAGCGGTTGTGACCAGTCAGCAGGGGATGCTCACTCCTCTATGGCACCTGATCCCACCTCTGAATGTTTTTGGAGGTCAGTGTTTGCTCTGCTCCCAATTTGTATTGTTTTAATGGACTTAGAGCATTATCTCCATAATTCATACATGTACCAGTGGATAGCCAAAGCGGTAAATACTCCAGTGCTTAATTTTGAAGTGGAGATTGATATGCAGTAAAGGACTGCAAACAAAAATTATAGTATACATTGTAGTTTTGTTGCCTACTTCCATTTCAATTTTCATCTAAGTTAGCATTTTTGTCCCCAGCTTTTGCAAAAGTGAGAGAACATTCTATTACATATCGCCTTTCGGCTCTACGAGGGTATCATGTAGCATTATCTCTGAGTGCAGCGAGGCATATCTCAATTCAAAGAAGCTAAAAAATGACCTGTGTGACGTAAACACACCTGTGGTCAATAGTATATAAAGCACAGCTCCACGTGCCGAAGTCATTCTTTTTCTCTGAGCGGCGTGCGAGTTTACCTGTACAGCAGGTAAACATTATCAATAGAGGTGTTTTGTTAACTTAGAACGTTGTTCAAGTTATTTAAGGGGTTTTTACTGCTGTAAAACAGCTCTTATTAAAATATTAAACTGTTTGAAGGTAAGTTACGAAGTCTTTGTATTTTGCCGTAATGACGGCTGAAAACCAGGACGATGTCCTATCTTTCATGGGAAGTGACCATGACAACTACTCAGATATAGAGGAATTGTTTGGGGATAAACCTCGTACACGAAGTGTAACAGATGACACTAATACAACAAATAAAAGAACTAGAGGAATGAAGCGTAAAGCACAGACCTCGACATGTTCTGCAAGTGCAAGTGCACCGCCGCCACGGGCGACGAAACAAAGTAAAAAATCTAAAAATCAGTCCGAGTCTGTTCAAGAATTTAATGTTGACGAACTTAAAAGTCAATTGGGCATAGACAAAATCTTGCAATCCCTTTCTTCGCTGACAGATACTGTAAAACAGTTGGGTCTTTCTAATTCTACGGCGCGTAATACGTGCAATGAAAATATTGGCATGCGGTCCACCGAATCTACGGTGCACACTTCGGGTAATAATTCTCCCGGTAATTTTACACAATCTATGCCTAACAGACCGCTGAGAAACTTGGTTAACATACCTGATTATGATTCTCGTCAAACTTTTGATGAAACCCCTGATGACTTTGACTTTGATTTTTCTTATTTGAATGGTCAAGTTTCTCCTTCTATTGAAGGTGTTGATACTCAAGAAACATTTAAGGGGATCTTAAATGATGAATCAATTCAGATTACAATTGATAACAGTACTAGCAGTAATGACTGGGATATCCCACAGTTAAATGCAAATGAGAAAACTGGTCCAAAAGTAAATGAAGCACTGGGAAAAGCTGTAAATGCAGCGATCTCTATTAAAACTAGCAAAGAAAGTATGGTAGAATTGGAGAAAAAATATGACAGACCAGATAATTGTAATCTATTGAAAGTACCCCGAGTCAGTAAGGAAATTTGGGATGCAATGAATAAGCAAGCCCATTCAGACGATCTCACTTTACAAGTGATTCAAAAATCTTTAGCCACGGGTATAATACCTTTAGTACAGATGGCTGATATGTTTGTCAATAAAAAAGAACTTGACCCCCAAACTTGTAAAAAGATGTTGGCAGATTCTATAAGTATGCTTGGCAATGCTTTTTACAACCTCTCAATGAAAAGAAGAAATGAAATTAAAAATGTTTTAAATTTTCGATATCGAAAAATTGCTTCCTCTGAGATTCCAGTAACAGATTTTTTGTTTGGAGACAATTGTGTCTCTAAACTTAAAGAAATGGGAGACATTACCAAGCAACCAATTGGAATGAAATCAAGTTATGATACAAAATTCAAAAATGTTAATCAAACAAAAAACTACATGTCAACCCAGGGGTATCAACCTCTCACAAACCAGTACAGAGGCAGAAACCGCCAGTACATGTATGCATATCCTTCCCAGAGAGGCAGAGGTCAAAGGGGTCAGTACAAAGGCATAAAGAAGAAAACATACAGTTACAGCAAGTAAAGGTGAGAAAGCTTAATAAACCTTACTGGCAAAAATTTACCAAAGATAAATGGATTTTAAACATAATTGATCCAGGATATGAAATTGAATTTTTTCAGCAACCTTTTCAAAAAATCATTCCAAAGCAAATTCAGTTTAATGCAGTAGAATCTGAATTGGTATCACAAGAAGTAAAACAATTGATTGATAAAGGTGCAATTGAAGAAGTAGAAGATATTTCGGATGCTTTTATTTCAAATATTTTTCTTGTACCGAAAAAAGATGGTAATCTAAGGCCAATCATAAATCTAAAACAATTAAATGAATTTGTTGAATATTATCATTTCAAACAAGAAAATTTAACATTTGCTTTAGAACTGATTCAGAGAAATGATTATCTTACTTCGGTTGATTTAAAGGATGCTTATTTTAGTGTCAGTGTTCACCCAGATTACAAGAAATTTCTAACTTTTTCTTGGAATGGAAAATTTTTCAGATTTGTAGTTTTACCTTTTGGACTAACTTCATGTCCAAGAATATTTACAAAGATATTGAAACCTGTTTATGCATTCTTTAGGGAAAATGGCATAAGATGTTGTTATTATATTGATGATTCCCTAATCATGAATCAAGATTTTTCTATATGTCAAGAACAAACAGATAGAGTTATGTTGGAATTAAACAATCTTGGTTTTACAATAAATGATAAAAAATCTGTAACTACCCCTTCGCAAAGAATTGTTTTCTTTGGAGTTATTATAGATTCAGTTGAATTTAAAGTCTATTTGACAGATGAAAAAATAGAGAAGATTTTAAATCAAAGCCAAATTATTCTGTCCAATCCAAGGATTCAGATAAGACAATTGGCCTCATTGATAGGTTTATTGGTCCATGCATGTAATGCAATTTTTCAGGGTCCTCTGCATTACAGGATTTTAGAAAGAGATAAAGATCAAAATCTGAAAATAAACAATGATGATTATAATTCATTTATGATTTGTTCTGCTGAGAGTATCAATGAAATAAAATGGTGGTGTAAAAATTTACAAACACTAAATGGAAAAGATATCAGATCAAGACCAATTGATTTATGGGTGGAAACTGATGCATCCTTGCTAGGTTGGGGTGCTAGATTTGAAAACAAAATGACAGGGGGTAGATGGACATATTCAGAATCATCATATCATATAAATGTTTTAGAATTGATGGCTGTGTATTTTGCTTTAAAATCGTTTTTTAAAGAGTACACTTCAAAACATATTTGTTTCAAAACTGACAATACAACTGTGGTTTCTTACATTAATGCAATGGGTGGAATGCATTCAAAACAACTCAATGACCTTTCAGTCAAAATTTGGAATTGGTGCATAAAACGTGATATTATTTCGGCCCAATATTTACCAGGGTGTGAGAATATATATGCTGATGCACTTTCTAGGCAATTTGCTGACTCTACAGAATGGATGTTAAAACATGATATTTTCTTGAGAATTTGCAAACAATTTTTTAATCCAGACATAGATCTTTTTGCTTCTCGTATTAATAAACAATTGGGAAAGTTTGTTTCCTGGAATTTTGATCCTGATGCATATCACATTGATGCTTTCACTTTATCTTGGTCAAACTTAAGTCCATATATTTTTCCACCTTTTAAATTAATTGGTAGAATAATCAATAAAATATTAGAAGATAGAGTAAAGCAAGCCATAATTATTGCCCCGTTATGGAAAACTCAAACTTGGTTTCCACAGCTAATGTCTGTTTTGATTTCTATTCCTATTAGACTTCCTCGACACAAGGATCTCTTGGTGATGCCACACACGGGAGAGGTACATCCACTCCGCAAGATTACTCTAACCGCCTGTCTTGTATCAGGAGATCCCTCTATGACAAAGGGCTGGCAAGATTCGATAGTGACATCATCCTTGCTTCATTACGACCAACTACTAATAAACAATACCAATGCTGCTGGCAAAAATGGGTGCTTTGGTGTTCTAAATGGAAAACTAATCCCTGTTCACCCTCTGAAGAAATAGTTGTAAAATATCTTATTTCTTTGATGAGTAATAAAGTTTCATTTTCTGTTGTGAATACTCATAAATCCATGTTGATTAACACTTTACCATATTTTGGTGTTTTATGGGTTAAAGAACCATTATTACTTCCAAAGTTAATGAAAGGATATTTTAATCTTAATCCATGTCGGCCTAAAGTTAAGACATCATGGGATGTATCAAAAGTTTTGTGTTTTTTATGCAATCTAATGCCTATACATGAAATATCTTTGCGTTTGTTAACTTTAAAACTGATAGCTCTTGTTGCACTTACAACAGCTTCCAGGGCCCAAACACTGTTGGCTCTTGATTTGAGATATATGTCAGTGTTTACTGATAAGGTTATTTTTCAAATTCAGAAGTTACTGAAAACGTGTAAACCTGGAACTCCTGTACATAGAGTTGTATTACATAAATTTTCTGATAACAGACTTTGTGTTGTTTCCACGTTACATGAATACTTGAGAAGAACAAAAAATAAAAGAAAATCATCTACACTATTTGTTTCCTATAAAACATTTAATCCTGTTTCAACATGTACGTTAGCAAGATGGCTGAAAACTGTTCTAGAACTGTCAGGAATCAGGAACTTTACTGCACATTCTTTCCGAGGAACTTCCACTTCAGTGGCCTATTCATCAGGTGCGTCATTAAAAGAAATAATGGATGCGGCAAATTGGTCCTCTTCAAAGACATTTTTTAAGTTTTACTACAAAGAGGCAAACATAACTGGGTGTGATACAGATGGACTTTTTGCGTGTTCAGTGTTGAATGGATGAACAATGAATTGTTTGGTGACATTAGTTGTTTTTTGACAATAAACACTGTTGATAAAATGAGATTATTCATTATCATGTTATATATAAACTTTGACAATGAATAAATTTAGTTTCATGTGAGTTTTATTTTTCATTAAATCATAATAAATGGTCTTGTTATTGAATACCTTGAAAATATATTTTTATTTGTAAAATTTTGTTTGTGACCAACTCTTTAAATATGCTACATGATACCCTCGTAGAGCCGAAAGGCGATATGTAATAGAATGGACCCTCCTCCAAGCATCCTTTAGGATGTAAAGGATGAGGGTCATTCTATGTATTGAGCCTGAGGCTCAAGAGGGTATCATGTACCCAACCCAAATTGATTTCATTTTGAGGTTAATAACCTACCCACATGGTATTTGTTAGTTGTCACAAACAAGCTTTCAAGAATGACTTCGGCACGTGGAGCTGTGCTTTATATACTATTGACCACAGGTGTGTTTACGTCACACAGGTCATTTTTTAGCTTCTTTGAATTGAGATATGCCTCGCTGCACTCAGAGATAATGCTACATGATACCCTCTTGAGCCTCAGGCTCATTACATAGAATGACCCTCATCCTTTACATCCTAAAGGATGCTTGGAGGAGGGTCCATTATATCTCAATTGTCTGTCAGTCTGTTCATCTGTTAATCTTTGAATGAGAAAAGATTGGGCTTTCATATTTTTATATACATTACTTTTGACTTTTCCAAATATTCTATGATTTTTGACACCTTGACCTTGAAGTTTGACCTACTTTTCAAAAATTTCAACATTACTTTTACCTTGATCATAACTTTAGAATGAAAAGAGATAGGGCTTTCATATTTCACATGTGTATTACCTGTGACAAGACCTTTCCAAATATAATGATTTTTTGATGGCATGACCTTGACCTTAAAGTTTGACATAATTTTCAAAAAATATAACAATGGTTATAACTTTTGAATGAGAAAAGAAAGGATATTCATGTTGACCTTGAAGTTTTATCTAATTTTCAAAATTTTAACATCAGTGATAACTTTTAAATGAGAAAAGATAGGGAGTTCAAATTTGACAAGTGCATTACCTGTGACAAGATGTCTCCGAATGTACTATGATATTTGACTTCATGACATTGACCTTGAAGTTTTACCTACTTTTCAAAAGTTTTTTTATTATTGCTGCTAACTTTTGAAGGAGAGAAGAGGGGGCATTTATATTTGACATGTGCATTATCTGTGAAAGGACATTTCCAAATGTGCTCTGATTTTAATCCCATAACCTTGAAATTGAAGTTTGACCTAATTTTCAAAAAAAATTAACATTTCTGATAACTTTTGATTGAGAGAAGATTATGGGTTTTATATTTGTCATGTGCATTACCTGTTTCAAGACCTTTCTGAATGTACTCTAGTTTTTGACCTTGTGACATTGACCTTAAAATTTAACTCTTAGTCTTTTTTGCATTTTTTTTTCCTTTTTTGCATTAGTAATAACTTTTAAATGAGAGAAGATATGGTTTTCATATTTTACATGTACATTACTTATGACAATATATTTCAGAACATATATCATGCTTGACTTCATGACCATGACCTAGAAATTTGACCTACCTATCAAAAATTTTAATTTTATCCATAGCTTTTACTCCAGAAGAGACAGGGCTTTCATTTTTTTTTTCACATGTGCATTACTTGTGACAAACCTTTCAGATTGTATTATGATATTTGACCTCATGACATTGATCTTGAACATGTTGAAGTTTGATGCATTTTTGAGAAGTTTTATCTTTGCCACAACTTTTATTAATTAATTTGTATCTTGTTTGTTTAATGTACAGAGAAGACAAGACACACAAACAAGAAAATTTAAATTACAATATGCCATCATTATTGTGCCCCCTTTGAAGAAGAAGTGGCATATTGCTTTGCTGCTGTCTGTCGGTCGGTCTGTCGGTCCACCAACAGTTTCCATTCATTTTCTTTGCAGAGGTTGCACATACTGAAATGAAATTTGGTATACAGATTTATCATAAGAATATCTAGGTCAAGTTCTGTTTTGCTAAAAAAGAAAAAGAGCATTCCATGCAATTTTTTTACCGCCCTCAAATAAAACCTAATAATTTATTAAATGACCATGAAATAAAATTATTCTACCATTCTTCCGTCATTTAAACAATGTGAACAATTATTGGGGGATTTATTTATGAATTAGTTTTTAATTTATAAACAAGTTATTAAAAGAGCACATTTATCTAAAAAAATAAACATTTGAAAATATCGGGAATTGGGATTTAATTCTTATTTGTTATGTTTGTGTTTACCTGGCTGATTAATAAAAAGCAATACAGTTGTATAAAATAGTGTAAACATCTGAGGTTTCAATCGCCTTTGGGCATGATTAGCAGAAAGTCAATCCATGTTACTTGAGTATCAGTGTTACACATCACTGAACATGCTGGTCAACAATGACACTAATTTAAATCTCTGTACTGCAAAAAACCTTTGTTTCAATAAATGTGTATACATGTAAATTTATGTCAGGATTAATTAATTTTGAACATAATCTGAGGGTTCCATTCGCGTGATTTACAGATGTACTCAGGGGTGTGCAATTACCATCGCCCAACGCCCGGGGCTACCAATTTTAGAGGTCGGGCTATCATAAATCTAAACTGTGTTAGCCCGTCGGGCTAGTAAATCTAAAACGAAAGTAATTTTGTTACTGCCACTAGCCCGACGGGCTAGTAACTAATTTTTGTAATTGCACACCCCTGCTGTACACTCGAACCTTTATGCAATAAAACACTTAAACTGAGTGTTATTGTTTTCTGTTACATAGAGAATCTACCAATAATTAAATTGGCAATTCAGTGAAAATAATCATGACTGAAATATAATACTCGGCAAAATTTAATAAAGAATTTTTCAAAAGCTCCAGTACTTAAGAAAAATGCATTCAGAGTATAGTGTGGGAATCGGCCTTGCCTATAATTATAAGATCTATTTAAAGCTAATTCTGATAAAAAATAAACAATTCAAGTTTAATTTTCTATAAAAAATAAATAAATATGAAAACCAATATTAATCACAGAAAATAAAGAAATTGATCGATTTATTTTGGTGAAAAATTAATATACCACATAACTGTGTTTAAATATTCATGTTATTAGTAGGTGTGAACGTCTTCTTTGTTCAATATTTATTATATGTTTCTATACACGTACTGTGATTTACTTACAGTTCAGAAATGACTGTTAAGAACTTGTAAGAATTGTAAGAAATCAGTTAAGAATTGCAAATATTTGTTGATACTGCTCAGAAAGAAATGCATCATCAATTTCAACTGCCTTTTATCGTTACATTGTTAATTGCTAATCTCATTTCTGAGTAAGCTGCACCCATTAAACTAATTAACCCCGCCCACTGGGACTGCTGTTGGACTGCTCTAAGAGTCCCAGAAAGCAGTCTCTGGGACTGCTTTGTGTCAGGTTGAGTCTGTTTGGTACTGTACATGTGAAATATAAAAGCGCAGGTATTTTAGTCTCATTCAAAAGTTATGACCAAGATTAAAGTTTTTGTGACAGATGGACAGACTGACAGACAGACTGAAGATGAATGAGATTTAATGTCCCCTTGCTTTCACAAAAGTGGGGGACAAAAAGAGGTTGGGACTGCCAATTCACTTTGAAATATCCCTGGTGTTGTACCTTATTCCCTTACTGATGACAATGGTGTTGATTTTACTTAGGTCTAGATCCAGATGATCCAACTCATTTTAGAAAATGTTTAGAAGATTTAGAGGAGAAGATGATGAAAGATCAAAGGTAAATCACCTGAGTCATGTAGAAAGCACAATATAAACTAAAAAGTGATACTTAACAACAGTCACAATGTAGCACAAAAGAAATGACATATCTAAATGTAACAACTTATTTCTTCAATGAAGCAATTTTTTGCAAGTTCACTTACATGTACCATAAGGATATTGTTTAGAACATATTATTCTCAGATCTGAGGATCAATTGCTGACAGTTCTGTTCTTTATGCTGCCTTTGATCTGTATATTCTGGACACATGTAATCAATTAAAGCTTAGTATGTAATGATGAACTAATGTACAAGTACCCAGTAGTTGATATGAGATTTAATTTTTTTACCTGTAACTATCAAGACTAAATTTAATTCACCACACTTTTCACAATGAATTGAAAGATATGAACTTATTGATTATAGAGTATGGAGAACAGAAATCATTAACAGAGTATGCAAATTAGATTTGCAGAAAAGTTCTTAAAAAATAGTTACCATGTATCATTTAATTCTTGAGTACATTAAGAAATGTGTGTATTTTGCTACATAAAACATAGATGTCTATATATATACATTAAAGAAAAGGTTTGTATGGTATGTCACAGTTAAAACTGATCTTGAATTTTTCCTGTCACAAAGTATGTTTGTTTTTCTTTTTAGGTATGACATTGCACTGTCACATGTTCAGGGAATGAAACAGATTTTTGCAGCATGTACCAGCTCCAAAAGGTTACACCTCCTCTTAAAAAACAATGACCTTGACCTGCTTAAAATGGTCTACTTCAGGTCTTGGTCGGGATCAAGCATGGACACATAGAGACTTGGAAATTTTATGACAGAAGTATTTTAATAAGATTATTTATTAAGAATTATTTTGAAATTTATGGTTATGATTTTTTTTAACATATAGAATTATGACATAGATTAAGAATGTTAACAAATTAACAGTTTTGCTTTTACATGCATATCAGTATTTGCAGAAACTGCAATTTATGCTCAAGATAGTTTTTACTTCAGTGTTTCTTGTACATTTTCTGACTGTGATTTAATTAAGCTGACCAACCATCATTTTAGCCATGATAAAAATAACCCTACATTTTAAATTTACATAGAAGTATAATTAAAGCAGTATGATATGTTGTTTGAGAATTTTATGATGCTATAAAAATGTGGTATTAGGACAATTCTGCATGTAACAATGATATAAACATTTGTGATCAATAAGACTATACAACTGATGGTAATTTAAATTAAGTACATGTATTATGAAATATATAGTATTATATAAGAAATGATTTTTTGTGCACGTCAGCAATCATGTGATTTTGCTTCAGTCAGAACTCTAAATAGTTTTTCCAATGCAAATATGAATAACCTTCATTTTTCTGTCAGTGAAATAGGAAACTGCAATTTTACAGCAAAAATTTCTGGTACCAAAATTGCATCTCACATTGCTTTAAAATTCAAAGACATTATACTTCAATGACTGAGCAATTAAAATTCATAGATATAACCTGGGGCTCGTAACATAAAGCTTGCTAAGATTTTGACTTAAGTAGGGTCATAAGTATGTTTTAGGTGCAATCCTAGGACCTGCCTAAGTACTACTTAAGTATGACTTATAAACCGTAACATAAAACGAACTAAGCCAGGTCTTAGCTAAGTCAAACTTATGTTCAAAATATTTCTTATGAATCACCCTAGTTTTTCACTTTATTTACATATATAGCTAAAAATGATTCATTAAGGTTTGGAATAAATATATATTAAATTTGATGTCCTCACTTACTGATTTTAGTAACTTAAATTAGATTTCGTATTTAATATCTAATTCTGTTAAAAATTATCACAAAATGGCAATGGTCAGTGATAGTGGTTCAATGTAAATTAATGAGTTTTGTTTATCACTCGAGACTGCAATATTTTCAGTTACCTTTTGTTGTTATTCTTTTGTTTTGAAAAAAGCTCACTCTCCTTGTCATTGTCGCAGACCTGGCATGATAACCGAACGTCTATCTACTTGAAATTTAACCTCTGTTATAGAAGTGTAAATAATAGGACATTTTGAATTTCCCCCACGATGTATCAGCAAATGTCAGCAAGGAAAAATGTAGACGTTTAATGATGTTTTCACACTTTATTATTACTTATTTTCAATTTAATCGAGGATCGAAGAGAATTGATTTCAGAAGATAAATGTACTTTTTCGAATGTCCTAATCTATCGACATCTCTCTCTCTTTCTCTCTCTATTTCTGAAGGTAGTATGCCTTGCATGCATGTCTTAATTCTCATCTGTATGTTCTACATTGAATCTAATTTACAAACACTCTTAATTAGCATTCTAGTCATCATCTTCTAACTCACCAACGATGTCTTTGTCTCTTAAAGTGTATTTCATCTCACATTTTCACAGCGAACATACAATTTCATGATTTTCTTTGTCCAACTTACATATAGTAAGTAGTGTTTATAACCTATTCTTCGATTTTTTAAAAATATCTCCAAAAATATAATTTTTCATGGAGATAAGTATGTCATGTTGAGAATGATACTGGAATCAGTGATCAATAAATCTGTATCCCCCCCCCCCCCCCCGCGCAAAAAAATATCAAATTCACATACCAGTAATATGCAGCGACAAATTATTTCTTTAATGCATAATATGAACAGAAGAATGTTTTAATGTCGAGATTTAACATTTAAAAGTTCTAAATTTGTGTATAAGATAGTTAAGACATACTTAAGTCACCTCCACCGGCCGCCTAAGTTTTGCTAAGATTGTCAAATCTTAGCACGCTTCTAGTTACGGTCTTAAGTTTAAGACTGTACTTAAGTACTACTTAAGCATGGTCTTAGACTTAAGTACCCTTTATGTTACGAGCCCCTGGTGTTGATTGTAATATTGGGTCTTTTAAAATGGCTCCTTACTCCCTTGTGATGCCTCATTCCCTACGAGCTTCATTAAAGAATATGGGTGAATAAGGCAAGATTGTCCACAAAGGGAGGATTAACAGTGCAAAAGTAAAAAAAAAAAAGTTTCAATTTAATTGCCAAAAATTACTCATTTTCATTTAAAACAACTCTATAATTATATTTTGAACCATTCATAACTTTTTTATTGACCAGAATGTTCCATTTATAACTTTCTTTCAAATGTCCATGTCACCAATAAACAAATTCTGATGAAAATGAGAACAAAAAAAAAATACAATTTTTCTCATAGAATGGGCCAGTGAGAGTGGGTTAAATAAACAATCACCTTTATTTTTAAAAGCCCAAAAAAGTGGAGTGAGGACCCACTCTGTGTAAAGAAAAAAAAGATAACATTTCCTACGAGAAACCATTCCTCTTTATTCTGAAAATTCAAAGACCACATAGATGTAGTGTATAACAAACTAGTAGTATTAAATGTCATGTTTCCTTTTATTGCTTTATCATGTAATATAGCGTCTTTACAATTTGTATCGCACAGTGGTTAGAGTGTCTGCTCTAGAGTCGCGGAGTAAGGAGTTGATCCTTACGTCGCGGGTTCGAATCCCACTGTGGGACGTGGAGACCGGTCCTTCAGATGAGACCGTATAAACCAAGGTCCTGTGTCGCAGTAGGTGCTGACACGAAAAAGATCCCTCACTGCTCAATGGCTGTAAGTGCCGAGTATAAGACAAAATTTGCAGCTCTCCACCGGCAAGTGGTGGCGTCTCCATATGAGTGAAAAATTCTCGAGAGGGACATTAAACAACATACAAACAAAAAAACAATTTGTATCATACAATTTATTTTAAAAATATTTTAGACAATTAGTCTAAAATATTTTTAAAATGAATTGTATGATACAGTCTTAAAAATGTGTCAAGAATACTTTACAAATATGCAGCTGATATACATACATGTATATGTATTACCTTTTAATTTACAATTTCTGATTCAAGTGCAATACCAACAGTATATGTGGTTGGTACTGTCAATGTCATTCTGATGATGGCACTGTCAGAAGTTGCACCCTTGCACATATCTGTAGCTCCCAGCATCGGTGCAGTTATACAGTAAAACATGCTTATAGCGAACACGCTTATTATGAATTGATGCTTATTGCAGAGTAATTTTCATTAGCTGTGACTCAAAAATTTATTTTACAGTTACTGGATATAAAAAAAAACGAATTATGCTTATAACAAAGCAAAATTGTCTGTCCCTGGCACTTCATTACATGTGTAAGCTTGTTTTACTGTATACAGTCAGTGCTATAATCCGAGATTCCTCTGACTCTAACCATGGCTTTTATGCTTTTATATTTTGACATGTGTGCACATGTCATGATATAAAAGCGGTGGTGATATGTCAACCAGATTGTGAAGATTTTTCTGATTCATAACAATTTTGAAAATGTTTAAAGTTACAAATTACACCTTAATTGTTTAAGAAATTTACATATTCCTGTAAGAAACATTGTTTGTTTATTTCTCTCAGACCATACAATGGTATATGAGGTACATGAACATATTTACATATATACAAAATACAAAGTCAAGTAAGGAAGAGTAGTATCAACACGACATCTTTTTAGGTCACCTGAGTCACTCAGGTGACCTATTGCTATCCGTTTTTGTCAGTCGGCGTGCGTCGTGCGATGTGCGTTAACATATGAACATTTTTAGCTTCTTCTCTGAAACCACTCAACCAATTTCAACTAAATTTGGCATATAGCATCTATGGGCAAAGGGGAACAAAAATTGTGAATTTCATTGTGCCTGCCCCCTGGGGCCTGAGGGGTGGGGCTAAAACCACCAAAATTAATGCAATCTTTAAAAATCTTCTTTACTCCTGGACATCAAGCAGTCAAACTGTTGGCATCATTGTAATAAGCATTGAGTCCTCTACCAAAATTGTGAAATTCATGGCCCCAGGGTCAGGGGTTCTGGTGCTAGGGCGGGGCTATATAGATCATATAGTGAAAGTGCATTATTTCTTTGAAAATCTTCTTCTCTGCTCCTGGGTATTAAATAAACTAAGTATATAGTTATGATGAGTAAGAGTGACTCTTCTAAAATTGTGAAATTCACGGCCCAAGGGTCAGGGGTTCTGGTGCTAGGGCGGGGCTATATAGATTATATAGTGAAAATGCATTAATTCATTGAAAATCTTCTTCTCTGCTCCTGGGTATTAAATAAACTAACTAAGTACATAGTTAGGATGAGCAAGAGTGCTTCTTCCAAAATTGTGAATTTCATGGCCCCTGGGTCAGGGGTTCTGGTGTTAGGGCGGGACTCTATTGATTATATAGTGAAAATGCATTAATTCTTTGAAAATCTTCTTCTCTGCTCCTGGGTATTAAATTCAGTAACTAAGTACATAGTTATGATGAGCAAGGGTGCCCCTTTCAAAATTGTGAATTTCATGGCCCCTGGGTCAGGGGTTCTGGTGTTAGGGTGGAGCTCTATTGATTATATAGTGAAAATGCATTAATTCTTTGAAAATCTTCTTCTCTACTCCTGGGTATTATTGAAACACATTAAATACATAGTTATGATAATCAAGGATGCCTCTTTCAAAATTGTGAAATTCGTGGCCCCTGGATCAGGGGTTCTGGTGTTAGGGTGGGGTTCTATTGATTATAAAGTGAAAATGTTTTAATTCTTTAAAAATCTTTTTCTCTGCACCTGGGTATTATTTAAACAAACTAAGTACATTGTTATGATAAGCAAGGATGCCTCTTCCAAAATTGTGAAATTCATGGCCCGGAGGACAGGAGTTCTGGTGCTAGGGCGGGGCTATATAGATCCTATAGTGAAGGTGAATTATTTCTTTGAAAATCTTCTTCTCTGCCCCTGGGTTTAAACATACTAATTTAAAAGTACATTGTT